TTAGAATACTTTTCCAAGCAAAACTGTATTTCATTGGTGAAGGAGAAAGGAAACACTCCCATTATATAAATAGACTAAAAGAATTCATGTCTACAAAACCAGTCCTTCAGAGAGTTCTTGAGGCAATACAAAGAGCTGAAGAAATGAATGACTATAGACAAGGGGTGATGGAAAGAAATTCAGTGAAGGTATAACTGTAGAAATGCACAGCTATATCAAGAATGTGAACAGAAATAAAAATGGCAGGATTCAATACACATCTTACAGTAATAACTTTAAATACCAATGGACTGAACTTCCCAGTCAGAAGATACAGACCAGTTGAATGGATTAAGAAACAAAATCCATCTTTTGTCTGCAAGAAACTCATCTCACTTTCAAGGACAGGCACTGCCTTAAGGTAAAATGATGGAAAAAAATATACCAAGCCAATGGTACTAAGAAAAAATCAGGTGTTGCAATTCTAATATCTGACAAAATAGACTTTAAACTAAAATTGATCAGAAGAGCTAAAGAGTGCCACTTCATTCTGATCAAAGGAACAATAAACCAAGAAGATATTACAATCATGGAATGTATTCACCAAACTCTGGTGCACCCAACCTCATAAAAACAGTACTACAGGACTTTAAGACCCATATTAATCCAAACTCCTTAATAGTAGGGGATTTACCATACCCCATTGTCTCCATTAGATAGGTCAACAGGACAGAGACTTAATAGAGAGACATCTGAATTAATCAATACCATATATCAAATGTACCTATCAGATATCTACCAAATATTCCATCCAAGCACCAAAGAATATACTTTCTCTTCAGCGCCCCATGGAACTTTCTCCAAAATTGACCATATACTGGGGCACAAAACAAACCTCAACAAATACAATAAGATTGCAATCATTCCATGAATTCTATCAGACCACAATGCAATAAAGATTAAAATCAACACCGGAAGAAACCCTAGTAACTACATGAACACATGGACATTAAACAACACACTCCTTAATGATGAACGGGTCAAAGGAGAAATTAAGAAAGAAATAAAAGTATTCAGGAAATTACATGAAAGGACAATACATCAGAACAAAACCTCTCAGACACTTTGACAGCAGTCCTTAGAGGGAAGTTTATAGCTCTAAGTGCCTACATTAAAAAATTGGAAAGAACACAAATAAGTGAGTTGACATTTCCAGTCAAGACACTTGAAAAGCAACAACAAATAAAACCCAAACCCAGCAGACAAGAAGAAATAACAAAAATCAGAGCAAAAATTAGTGAAATAAAAACAAAGAAAACAATACAAAGAATCAGTGTATCCAACAGCTGGTTATTTGAAAAGATAAACAAGATTGACAGGCCGCTAGCTCAGTTAACCAAAAGAAAGAAAGAGCACCTCCAAATCAACAAAATCAGAGATGAAA